TGCAGAATGAAAAGCCAACTTTACGAAACACTAATCTTGTCATTCTTGCCATTACCTTCTTCATACTGAGAAGAGAACAGAAAAATACATGATTGAATAATATTTGGAGTCTTTTTTTTCCATCTCCCTATGGTCCTTTTGCCCAGTTTTGCTTTCCTTCCTTTGTGTTTGGAGGAGCTGGACCAACTCTAAACATGAACTTTTACACTTTGATGGCCATGGCGTCAATTTGGTTTCCTCTGCATCCCTTTCACTTACCTCATTATGTGTAATAAACTTCAGATTAATAGAACTAGCAGCTCAATAAAGTGCTGACAGCACTGCAAGTACCAAGGAAAAAAAAACTATCAAGGAAATGAAAACGACTCATCAGACATGTCAACAAATAAAGAAGGAAAGCTGGACTACTTTTACTGTTCCTGGCTAAAAACAGAGATGTGGAAAGCCACATTTGTGGTGTTGATATCAGACAAATAGTTGTAACATAAAGAAAGCCACTAAAAAAATACTTCACAAAAGATATCTGCCCTTCTCAAAAGTTATTTCACTATATATTCATATCTCAAAACAATTGTCTTAACTAATGAAGAGAAAAATTTAAAAGTAAGCATGCATGGCAAATATGTTAAAGAAGGTGCATCACAAATAAATTTTTTTTCTCTGTTTTAATTTGGGCAGAATACAGTCCTAAGTCCTTCTCTACTCTCTCAGTGCATGGCTTAATTCAAAGATCACCTAATTACTGCAAGTGTTGACAGACTGATCTTGGCACACCGTTTTTCAAAGAGTATTGCATGTTCCATTATATTTAACAAAATGTAAAGCAAAAGTCAGTTATACTTCACCTCAAGTATCATCTCTGTCTCTGTGTTATGGAGTTCTTTTAATAGCAAAAAAAAGAAAAATTGATGAATTGCTGTTAGGCCTAGGGAATCGTTTGAGTCATTCAAATAGATGTGTCATAGTCAGGATCTTTGAATGCAACAGGAACTTTTGGATGCTGGAGGAGAAAAGGCATTTAAAATTGTAAATTTTTAAATATTGTAAATTGCAAAATGGAAAGGGAAAGGAAAGGAAAGGAAAGGAAAGGAAAGGAAAGGAAAGGAAAGGAAAGGAAAGGAAAGGAAAGGAAAGGAAAGGAAAGGAAAGGAAAGGAAAGGAAAGGAAAGGAAAGGAAAGGAAAGGAAAGGAAAGGAAAGGAAAGGAAAGGAAAGGAAAGGAAAGGAAAGGAAAGGAAAGGAAAGGAAAGGAAAGGAAAGGAAAGGAAAGGAAAGGATATTTTAGTTTAGGAGTTAAAAATGCTAGTTAGCTTAAAAAACATTTTAATAAAAGCATACAAAACCTAATTAGTTTTTGATTATTTGCCATTTGAAAATATCCCCCAGACCTGATATGCTCTTTTCTAAAATCTTGTGAAAAATTGTATACATTGCATTCATTAGTATATGAAAAAATAGAAATACTCTAAGTAGATCCTAAAAACCAGGAGATATGGGGAAAAAAAAAAGAAAAGGATTGATAATTACAGTGCAATTCTGCCCCACAATGACCAAAACCATCCATTTTTTTGGTTTCTGTTCAGTTTGCACAAGTACTGCTGCTGGTGATCCATTGCTTGGTTCAATCAGACCCTGAGATATTCAGCCAGCTCACTCTGAGGTCGTGAGCCTGCACTAATTCTGTTCTTGTGATGGATTAATTGTTTCCAGCTGTATTTCCAACATCATTGCCATGTAATCCTATTTATAGAAATTTTGTGTAATCTACACTAGCCAAGCCAAAGATGGTCCATATCTTGCTGATGTGAATACCTTTAAAATGTGGTGGCTTTAAATAGTTGTTCTTTTGAAATCACCGAGGCTTGGCCAATTCAAAATAGTGGAAAGAAAATTTATGGGGCAAATTCACAATCATTAAATTAATTCTTAAAATTCAAAGGTTTTTTGTTTGTTTGCTTGCTTGCTTTTAATGGTAGACAAGGAAACATTGATAAATAATTTGTACATTAATACTAAGCTTAGTGTGTTCTTACTCTATTTCCAAATGTGCACATTACACAAACTCTTCCAAGGAAACTTACCTTTTAATTTTTACCTTGAACTTGTCAGCAATAGTTCTTCCTTGGAATAATGCAAAGACATCTATTGTGCCTTCCAGAGAAAGCTGAGTAAACTCAATCGTAATAAGCATGATTAGCTCTGAAAGTGGTCAAATTATGTTAGAGTTATAAATGAGGAAAAGAATATGATAATAATAAAATCAACCAAGTCACACTTGAAAGCACACACTTTGCATAATCTTAAAATATTAATTTCAATTCTGATGCAAACAGACAAACAAAAAATGAAATATAACGACATTTGAAAGCTATAAGGAGCTACAGAATCTATTTACCCATCAATGGGGTCCTCAAGATCTGTCTTGTTTGAATCACAATACTCCAACAAGCTGCAGCCACAGGATGGTGCTCGTGGGCTTTGGATACCATATTACAAATCTGAGAGGAGGGGAAAAAAAAAAAAAAGAGAAAGAGAGGGAGCCAGACTCTCCTCTTGGCAGGCTCTTCCTTGTCCTACCCTGAAATACGTGAGCCAGCAAGCAATCCTGGATTGGGTTGATTTACCCCTCTACATTTACTGAATCTTCAGGGGCACTGCAAATAGGCTGATCCATCGAGGGAAGTCACTAAATGCAATCTTTTTGGACTTCATCAAAGCTTTGATACTGTCTCCCACAGAGTCCTTCTGGATTGCCCAGCCCACAGCTGGATAACTGAGTTATGTGATAGGTAAGTTACTGCCTCACAGGTCAGGCAAAAAGAGTTCTAGTGAGTGTGGTGACATCAGACTGGTGACTGCCACAAGTGGGGTTCCAGGGCATTCCATCCTTGACCCAGTTCTCTTCAACATCTTCATTAATGACCTGGATGCAGGACTCGAGGGAATACTAAATAAGTTTGCTGAAGACACTGAATTGGGAGGAGCTGTCAACTCCCTAGAGAGCAGAGAGGCCCTGCAGAGAGCCCTCCACAAATTAAAGGGTTGGGCAATCTCCAACAGTGTGAAGTTTAACAAGGGCAAGTGCCAGATTCTGCACCTGGGATGGGCAGCCCTGGCTGTGTATAGACTGGGGAATGAGAGGCTGGAGAGCAGAGCCATGGAAAGGGACTGGGGGTCCTGGTTGATGGCAAGTTGGACATCAGCCGGCAGTGTCCTAGCAGCAAGGAGCTTCAACCCTATCCTGGGGGGCATCAGGGGCAGCACTGCCAGCCAGGCAAGGCAGGGGATTGTCCTACTCTGCACTCCACTGGGGCAGCCTTACCTCGAGTGCTGGGGGTGGTTTTGGTTACCAAACATAAAAAAGATATTAAGCCATTAAAGTCCAATAAAGGAGGGCCATGAGGATGGTGAAGGGTCTGGAGGGGAAGCCATATGAGGAACAGCTGTCACTTGGTTTGTTCTGTCTGGAGAAAAGGAGACTGAGGGGGGACCTCATTGCATTTACAGCTTCCTTGTGAGGATAAGTACAAGATGCAGTAATGATGTTTTCATTCTTGTGACCCATGACAGGACCCAAGGGAATGGCCTGGAGTTGAGTTAGGAGAAGTTTAAGTTGAATATCAGGAAAAGTTTTTTTTACCTGGAGGATGTTTGGGCACTGGAACAGGTCCCCCAGGGAAGTCATCACAGCATCCAGTCTGATAGAATTCAAGAAGTGTTTGGACAATGCTTTTGGGCACATGGTGTGAGACTTGAGGAGTCCTGCACAGGGCCAGGAGATGAACTTGATGATCCTATGGGCCTCTTCTAACTCAGCATATTCTATAATTCTATGATTCTATGAGCAGTTTTTTGTTATTCTGGGTATTACTGTTTAGCTAAATACACAGATTAGGGACTGAAAGAGGTACAAACGACATCATATTTAACATCAATGACCTGAACATCTTTTTCCTTCAGAGGAATTATCTTGCAAACTGCTCTTCTTGACTGGTACGTGTGTTTGCTGTTGCACACAGGTGGCAATGCAGTAGAATAACTGCAGGTGACAAGATCTAGGAATCTGGTAGAAGCTTTTTAGATCTAGCAATGCTTTTGAACTTTTGCTATAGAAAACAACTAAACTTAAAGAGTTCCTTTAAAACCCAAACATATCTGCAGTTTAACTGGAAAGAAATCCATGGACTAGGAATTTGGACAAGAATCTGCAGTACTGGGAATCCTACTCAGCAACAGAAGGTCCTGCTTTACACTTAGTCACAGTCATCTCCCTGTGACTCATTGCCTTCTCCTTCCCTAGAACGGGCCCCAACTTACACTAAGAAAGTATGCACATCTCTGTATCACCTGTGACTGATTCTTAACTTCTTCAGTGATTTCATTTGTAATTTTATACAGATGACCAGGCATGTTGTAATGAATATTTTCATTCACCTCTTAAATTGTCGGGACTTACAGACTTTGTGAATAGTAGCCTTAATTGTAAATTTAGTAGGATATACCACAAGGCAACTCATATTTCTATGGAAATATAGAATATAGATTCTGCAATTCCACGTACCACTGCCGTGTCTATCCATATGGCAAAAAATGTAGGTACGTACTACAACACTTTTAATCAAGATTTATACTAAGCCAGAAAAGTTGGAACGCTTTTATATAAATATTTCCCCAATGAGTCACTAATCCACACATCTCAATAGCTGGCGTGGGGAACACTTGCATTCCAAGCCGTACTGCGGAGTAGGCAGCTTCGAAATAATTTATAAACTAAGTGAATAAGGAACTTTGGAGAGAGGAAAACGAGTTAACAGATAGCAAACCCAGAATACCGAGGACACTGGCAAGCCCAGCACCTGCCCGCGGAACGCTGCCCGCGCACCTGGCCGCGCCCCCGCCGCGGGGGTCGGGGGCGGAGGGTGGGATCTCAGGCATCGCTGATGCCTCTTCCCTCCCCCGCTTCTTTCCACCTTCTGCTCTATAATTGCCCGCCTCCTTTCTCTACCCCTTCGCCTTATCAGATGCGGAGCGGCCAGCGGGGAGGGAAGCGGCTCTCCCGCAGCCACGCGTGAAGAGCAGCGGCCGCTGCCCGCCGGCCGCTCCCGGCCGATGCCCGCACAGGTCGGTGTGCGCTGCGCTTCGTCCCCATCGAGGGCGGGGGCCAGGCGGGCGGGGGGTCCAGGCAGGACCGGAGAGCTTCCCATCAACCTGCCCGGCCATCCTCCACGGCGGCTGGGCGGGAGCGCCGGAGGGAGAACGGGGCGAGGGAGGAGGAGATGGAGCGAGCTCAGGCTAGGATGGGGAAACCCCTTTAGGAAACCCCCTGCCAAGGCCTTACTTTGATAGCTGATAGTAATTAAAACCCAGTCAGTCTCACTGTTGCTGTGGCGGAGGCTCTGGCTCCCTCGCTCCCTCCCTCCCTGGCCCCTCTCCGCTCTGTCGGGGCGGTCGCTCCGCCCCGGCCCCGCACGGCGCTTTCTCCGCGGAGCTCCCGGGCTGGCGAGGCGTCCCCGCCTCGTCCCCGCTCGCTGCCGGCAGCCTCCGGCTCTCTCGGGCTCCGCTCCCCGCCTCAGCTCCGCGGAGGCCCCGAGCTCCCCGCGGTCTCTCCCTTCACCCGCGGCGGGGCACTCGGTTTCGCACGGGTGGGTGCGGGTGGTGGGGAGCTCCCTCAGAGGAGTCGGGGCTCAGGAGCGGAGCCTGGAGCCCCTGGCCAGGCTGCGGGGCTGTGGAAGGCGAGCGGGAGAGCGCGGTCCCGGCCCCCTCCGCCGCCTCCCTCTGCGGGGCCGGGGCAGCTCCGGCTTGGCCTGGCGGGCCGCGAACGTGAGCGAGTGCCCGGGCAGCGAGACGGGAAAACCCCGAGTGCCCTGCCCGAGTGACAGCGAGGGAAAACCCCGAGTGCCCTGCCCGTCCGGGGACTGTGCTCAGCCTCCTCCCCGGGCTGGTGCGCGGAGCCGGGGCAGGGCGGAGCGCGGAGCTGCGTGCCGCGTTTGTCCCGCTGCGGGCTCTCGGGGTGCGCCCTTCCCTCAGGAGAAGGCGCCCTGCGGAAGGTCCGTGCCAGGAGTCCTGGAGCCCAGCGGGGAGAGATGCTCCGGGGAGCGGGGCTCACCTCATGGCAGGGTTCTTGCCTTGCTTGGTGTCTGCTCCTAGCGCTAGTTTGGCAGATAACTCATTTACCACATACTTACTAAAAGGTGAAATATATGAAGAGCAGAAGGAATAGGATATTTGTTTTTAGTCCCACACAATGTGAGCCACAAGGTGGCTGCAGATGGAGGTTTCCTTTCCTGGTTAAGTGAACCTGACGTGCGGGTCATTGCAGAGATGAACTCGTGTGTAGTTGATCCAGCACCAGTTATGTCTATTCCAATAAATCTCATTTCTCTGGCTTTTCTATAAAAGCAGCAGTAGAGAATGTTTCTAACACAGGATTATCGGTCAGTTAGTATTTATAGCTCTTGCTTTGGAGGAGGGTTTTATAACAAATATAGCAGATGGGGGATTCAGCCACCACTGTGAGTGAATATTTTAATGTCTGTGTTATTATGGGAGGCAATCCACACGTCATCAGTGGTAACTGCCTGGAAGAATGAGTTGCTTGGAGAGTCTGTATTTACTTGATCCAGGTTGTATTCCTGAGTGATGGGAGAAGCATCAGTACCCAACATGAGATGCACAAGAGGTGGATTTCAGCCTGTTTTGAGATGCTCTCAGTTCTTTGTATTGCCTGTCACTAGGCAGCTGTCTGCTGACTGTGGTTCTTGGGTGTTTGACACTTTGGTCCATGTAGTAGGAAACCTGGGAACTTTGCACGAGTTTCTGAATTCCATCTGGAGGATGGGTCTAAGAACTCTGCATAGCAATATATGAGTTCCTAGGGCAGAACTTTGATTTGGAATCTAGGTACTTTCTTCTGTCTTGAGAGATTTATACTATGAGAGATAGATTCAAAGTATATGTTTAAGTAATGTGAAGTTTGTTGATAATATGGTTAAAACATTGATAACCTCCTTTGGAGATGGAATTTACAATGTATATATTTCTCCTAAATATTTCTAGGAGTTGTATCAAGCATTCATGACTGGTATTGGTGACAGCAGACCTACCAACTATAGAACTATAGTTGTCCCACTGGGACAGATATAGCAGGATGCAAATACTGAGAGAGAGAAGAGGATGTAGGACTTATCCTCTTCTGTTTAATAATGATTGAGGTACTTCAGTCTGCTTTTTATATTAGGTAGTGGATGAACCACTTTCCATGTGCCTTCAAGACAAGGAAAACATGGAAGGCAAATACAGTGATGGTATGTCAGGACTATTAGAGAAAATGACAGAGGAGGTAAATGTGAGAAACCTACAAAACAGAAATACATAAACCAAAATTTGCCCAAGTAAACCTTCAAATCCTCTTTGCTGCCTGCAAGAAATTTACTATTAATTATTTTGTTTCTCCTGTAGAATTTTAACAGGTGAGATCAGCAAAAAATCATCTTCATGGCCCAGAAAATTGACTAAAACTAGTACAGTAAAGTTGAGTGAAAGAGAAATCTTTATAAGTATGGTGCTAGGCATGTGTTGATGCATCTTGAGATTGGTACTGTTTTTAAGCTGACTTCTGTGGTCAGGTAAATTGCTCATTCTGAAACTTGATCTTTGGAACCAGAATTGTTTCCTGTAACCCAGCTAGTTCACCTAGGACTACCTTAGGTGTTTATATACTGCTGCATTCTGAAGTGTTGATTTCTCCTAACTGGTTAAGTTAGTGTAAATGGTTTTGACCGTGATACTACCTACTGTAGGTACAGACAGTACAACAGAGAGCACAGGATAAGCTGAATAAAGTAGAAAAAGGAAAATGGACAATGGGAAGAGGATGTGAGTTCCTTCAGAACAAAGTTCTGCCTTTTTTAAAAAGCTTCAGAGTTCTTTGCCACAGATATGTTGATAAGGCTCTTACAAAACTGGGTTGTATAGAAAGACATGTTGTACTTTGTTATTAACTGTAGCTTACTCTATTTCCAATGCTTGTGTATGTTTAGCAAAGAATATACAGTTCCTTTTTATGTGGGCCGAGTTTTCAAAACTGTTGAGAGGCCCAAGTGGGGTTCTTTGTCCCTTTCAGGTAAAATGTGCTTTGGTCATAAAACTGCTGCCAGGAAAATTTGTCTCCACTGATGTTTGTAGTAAATTCCTTGTTGTTTGTTTGTTTTGTTTGCTTGGGTTTTTTGTTTGATTTAGTCAAACCCAGATTTCTCCCACAATTTTCATTAAAGTGGATGCCTTCTCTTTGCCTTTGTAGTAAGTCTTTTTGTTCCATGTGTTTTCAGACCTGCTGACACTGTGTATTGAGGGGAGGAAGATGCTGTGTCGATACGAGATACAGAGCTGTTTTCTCTTGGCTTTCCTAGCTGTCACACCTTTTTTCATCAGTGATGTCCAGGGTCAAGGTAAGTCACAAATGAGAAGATGGAGTTTTTCACTCTGATGTGCAGAAATAGACTTTTTATTCCAAATGCAAGTGTTACTTCCTCCTTAGTAGGATGTGAATCCAATAATACTGAAATGAAGCAGGAATTTTGCTGCTGAGCTCGGGGAGCAGGTGGGAGTAGAATTACATCTTCATGTGTGCTCTTTGAACCTAGTATCTCAAATAGCATAAATATTTGTGCAAATTCATGTGTCTCAAAATGAATTATACACAGCATGCTTTTACTCCTATTTACATGAAAGTACTTATCAGAAATTGCTCTTATTGTCCTCTACGTAATGAAGCAAGTTTGAAGGATCAGCTATGATGTGAAACTTGTATGGAATATGTATGGTTTTTGTCTTTTGGAGCAGTGGCTTTTGTAGTGCTTGTATCATTCCAAATTGCACAGATCTGTTAAATGTCACAGACCACTTCTGCAGCTTTTAAAATGAAAATCTCCTTTGTGAATATTAAAGGATACTGCTGGGATTGTTAGGCTTACATACTTGTTGGATTGTATTGACAGTGGCTTGACTGCTAGAGAAAATTTATCCTATTGCTTGGGGATGGAGGGAGGAAGAATACCAATGAGTTGTTATGATTTCTGAAGAAAGGCATTTCTCTCAACTTTAGATTTATGTAATCCCTTTGATATGAGATTGCATGGGCATGACCAGGAGCAGAATTGGATCCTGGGGTCTTTTAAAGAGATTTGTATAATGCATTATTCATGAGGACATTTGGAAACTATTGGCAACATGAGGCTTTCAAAATCCTGATAATGCAAGTAGCAGCGTTGTCCAGTCTGCGTGGCACTTGTGTGCTGGGGAAGCATACATTCTTGGATGTTTGGAAATCTGTGAGCATTTTACAAGCCTCTCCTAGAACTTTGGGACACGTGTAAGCTGTAATATATGACGTCGGTGATGTGAGGTGAATCAAGAAATGTATGTTCCCAATGTTCAGTGCATCATTCTGGTCAGAAATTAGGTCCAGAATGTTTGTGACTTAATGAGCCAATAAAACAAAGCATATGGTTAGTCTTTTCTTTGTATTTCAGTCCTAATACGTGCGGTTAAGATTTGCAAAACAGGTGTGGGGGTTGAGGTCCACCTCCAGAAATTTTGCAAAATTCCTTGATCTTGGAAAACTGTATTCTTCTCCACTTTTTAAAAACTTTGATTCCATCAGTTATAGTTGGAGAGTGTTCTCCCTTTAATACAAGTACAATGAAATGAAGGTCAGAGAGGTTTTTTTTCCACAGCAGTCACCCTAGCAGAAGCTAGGGTTGGTGTATTTGATGAATAAAGAATAATACTTCCCTTGTTCTTAGGCTCTTTCAGCAAGCATCAGCTATGGAATGCTGTCAGCAGTGTGATATTAAATTAAGTGGACCTTTGCCTTAGCTCAACATGACTGTTATTCCATTAAATTAGGTGATATGAAGTCTCTATTCCATGTTCACAGAAAAATAATCTCTTGGTACACTAAAAGTAATAAGATGTTTCTCAAATTCTTTTTGTCAAGGTTGCCACCTCTTGAAGTAAGCTCTTCATGCAGCTGGCAAACTATTTACAATTTAATACCAATTGTCTCTGTGTTGTAATCAACTGTACACTCTGCCAACATGTAGGAAGAGCTGTCATTAGTTCCAGCTTGTGTTTCCTTCCTTTGGCAAAGATGCTCAGGTAAAGGTGTGTAATGTGACTTCTTGGAAAGGAGAATATGTTTGTGAGACTGAAGCCAGTATGCCTGAAGCTACGAATTATCCCTTCAGAGGAGCCATGTGGTTGTTTCTCTCTGTGCCACATAGCACAGTTTGGTTTTGAATCAACAACAATTATTTTTTCAGCACTGCTTTTTCTTCCCCATTCAATATAATGTATAAATAGCATATTTTGTCTACTTATGTTCTTATATAGTAGATTAATAGTGCTGGGCAAGGAAAACAGTTGAGAATTTTTCACTTATTCATAAAGTAACTTGCTTTGAGAGTTTTTCTGTATGTAAAGTTGGATTTTCTTCGTGTAGCAATAATTTTCATGCGTTACTACTGCAATTACTAAGTAACTGCAGTGCATATTAACTTATTCAATTCTTATGACAACAGTAAATTGAAAGCCACAATATTTAGTTAGTATCCAAACTTAGACTATTGGAAGTCTTGGAGAATTGTCTATAAGCAATTTATTGTATTTTTCCTTTCCAGTAAGAGTTGAAAGCATTCTTTCCCTAGTTGTCTGTAAGAGTTATGTGTTTGGAGTGCTGATTTACCTGGTGGTATAAACCAAAGCCTTAAATTTGTCCATTTGCTTTTGGGTGACTTCTCTAATGTTGCTGACAGCCATTCTCTTTTGCATTCCTGTAAAACCACTTAATGAGATCTAGCTACTGATTTTTATCAGTTAACTGACTCAGCTTGGATTGATTTTTTTCCCTTTCTGCAAGAAGTGAGATTTTGTTCCACAGACAATAAAGGCCCAAAGAAATAAAGATATCCTCTTCAGGTTGGTGAATGCGTAGTAATTCCCATCAGTATTTTGTTGTCTGTTTGAGTGCTAGATTTTTAACTTCCTTAGCTATATGTACTTTTCTATGCCAGAACATTAGTCTTTGCACAACTAAGACACAGTTGACTATTTGCCTAGTGAATAATTACTTTCTTTCTTATGTTTTTTTGCTGTGTGGGAATGTTTCTTCCACTGCACTGCTGCCTTTGGTACAAAAACAACCCAGTGAAAATTGACCAGTTATGTAAAGACTATTCTGGCACCACTTTTCTAGTCTTTCACATTGTAACTCTGTAGTATACAGAAAAACTGGTGATTGTGTCCTTCTTTGCTTGTAAGGTCTATGATTGTTTTATATGGGCTTGTATATTTGTGTTTTGGTGATGGCTAATAGCAGTTAGGCCAGAAATATGCTTCTTTGTTAGAAGGTGCTTTCATAAACTCTCAAGTTGAAAGTAGGATGGAAAGAAATTATGGGAAAGGAAGATGGCAGACAAAGTGAGCTCTGAAATTCTAAGACATGATTGGGGGTTTTTTGGGTCAATCTTTGATGTTACTTTGTTGCTCTCTGCTCTGTTTCTTAATCCCCATACAAAATTACCACTTAATCCCAGTAAAATCTGCAGCATTTTCACACTTGCATGCAGCTATTATAAAAAAAATTATTTTCTATTCCTGAGGCAAAATAATAAAAGGAATTGTATTTTTGCAAATATCTAGGTATGATTTGTCACTCTTGTTCATTTAGCCCCAATTTCTTGTGATTTATGTATAGCTCAAAGACAGAATCTTGAGAATTAATTAAAAGCTGTAATCCATAACTGCAGTCTGCTTGGCTTTGAAAGCTTTTTGCCATAGTCTCTGTCATGTTTTTACAATTATAGCATGCTGAATGTTCTTGCAGAAACCTGCCTAGCAAAACATTTTGCAGTATAAGGGCCAAATTTTCAAAGAACTGATGTTGTATTTGCAGTGATTCCTGCGCACGATTTTGCTTGCAGCCTCTTTCTTTCTAAACTTCAGGGAGGTGACAGGCAGACTGAAGATGAGGTCTGACAAGACTGTGCCCAGCAGCTAAGGAAATGCTTGGGTTGGGTGTGAGCCCAGCACTGCCAATCAGAAGAGCTTTGAGTGTGTGGAGCTCATGTGCTGCCTGCTGCTTCTGTCCCCTTGCCTCTCTTCTTGAGCTTGTTCTCTGAGGTCTTTGAGAATGCACAGGTGTTGATAAGCTGTTCTTGGTACTGATGCACTCCCTTTTCTGTGTTCTGGTGTTAAGTTCCTCAAGGAAGAGAACTGCAGAACCTGCCCTTGGTCTGACAAAACTTCCACTTAGGGAATAGAAGTCTGGATACAAGGGAATATATCTCTTGTATTAAACCTCCAAATTCTTACTTATAAGATCCAAAATGTATTTAATAGTAGATGACATGAAAAAAAACATGCACCCCTGAATCTCAAAAAACTACAACATGCCTTTTTCTTTCTTCCCCCAATCTCCTGGAAAAAGTAGCATGTAGGAAAAAGTTATTGGTTCAGAACAGGTCTTTGGCTGCTGCTGGTGCCAGAGCTGCATTGGCTGTAGCAGGTCAAATGGAGAGGCCAGAAATTGTTGGCCAGCACATTCTGCCTGTTGACTCAGACACTCCATGTACTGTAATCCCTGAATCTCAGAAATATCATGAGACTCTTGGTTTATTATATCAAAAGGACCAACAAACTGTGGGCATGAGCCTAGTCAATAAAAAGCAATCTTAGCCCTGGGAAAAGAAATTGCCACTTGCCTGCTTCAGATTAATTTCCCCGATTTCTTAGACTTATAACAGAAAACTTAAGATGTAGTGGCAAAGGCACCAAGGGTTTGGAAAATGAAGGAGACTATTCAGGGGGCTGTGGAGACAATGGGAAAAGGAGGAGTAAGGTTGGAGGTGTTAAAGGTTTTCTAGCCCTTCTGTCATTCAGCCTTTAAGTAGCTTCCCTGGCTGCCTTTCCCTGTAGATCAGTTTGTTCTCTGTGAGCCAAATTCTATTCACATGTATGAAGATTTCCCATTGCTGACAGCCAGGCTGCACTGCCAGGTGCTCTGCTGCAGTTCTTCAGTGAAAAAGGGATGTATACCTCCTCAAAGCAGGGTAGAAAGATTTTGTAGTGTGGTCCAGCATCAGTGGAGTTTGACTGAGCAGTGGGATGTAAAACTGTAAAAAACTTGTTTATGTGCAGAGACGCAAAGTTGCTGATAGTATGGCGACAGCATGGGGCAGTTTCTCCATTTGTTCCTGCGCTCATTGCTTCATTGATATATTGCCTCTTCTTCAATCATTTCATGCTTTTATTCATTTCACCTGCTGCTTCAGTTTAAAACCTGGTTGACGTCACAATATAAATAGAAGCAAAATTTTGCTTAATATCCAGATTTCCCCTAAGTCTTGACTAGCCTGTGCATGCCTGCTAGTCTTGATTAGACTGCTTCAGTGTTTGCAGCTGCAAAGCTTAGTGCTGCTTTAGCCAGGTTTGCAAATTGGGCAGCTGATGTTCCCTTTGCCTTGTGCACACCTGTCTTTTCTCTTGGTTATTCTCTCCTCACAAGGATTTGAAAATTTGGCCCTGGGTGACATTAAATGTGGGGAAATGCCCACAGTAATGAGAGGTAAAAGAGTGTAGGTTATACATATTGTCAGTGTAAGCAAGAAAGCAATTTTAATTCCCATATATTAACAAAGAGCATTTTTATTGCCAGCTTTGCCTGCCAAACTAGTGTCTTAACATCTAACATTGTTTGTCCTTCTGTCCACTGCTGTTAGGTTGTTTAGTTTGTTTTGTAAAGAGATAAATAAAAGGTCTGTCTGAGGGAAGTAGTGCACTTGGGGGTGTCATTTTACAAACTAATAAACTGATGTCTGTGACATTTTAAATAACTTGCATCCTTTACTATTAAAATTGTGTTGTCTTCCTATATGTGTTTATTTTTGTTTGTTTAAAATTGGTTGGTCTTTATTTGAATTTAAATTGTTGTTTTCTTTCTGAACTTGCAGTGTCCCCACCAACAAGACTAAGATATAATGTAGTGAGTCCTGACAGTGTACAGATCTCTTGGAAAGCCCCCAAAGGGCAATTCACTGGATATAAACTTCTTGTCACTCCAAGTTCAGGTAAAAGTCTGTATGTTCTCTTTAAGGTGAAAGAACTGTCTTCCTAAGTCATCAAAAGTTTTTAGAGTTTAGTGTCCTCCTCCACAATGAAGAAATTGTGAGCAAGCTTTGGGTAATGAAGTAATGGCTGGTCAACAGAAGAGAGATTGATTTCACTGGAGGGTGGTCAGGCTCAGAAAAGGGGAATCAAATGGCTGAGGTAGCAGAGGTGGGTCAATGCTAGTTATGCCTCATATGTAGTCTTTGGGAATTGTCACTGATCATCTGTCTTACCTTTCTTCCGGTGGGGTGTAAGGAATTCTAGGAATTGTTCAAGGGAAAGTATTGCAATCCTAATTCAGTCAACCTTCAAGGTGGAGATCCTTGTCTCTTCCGCTTTAGTGAGCTGTCCAGAAAAGAATTAAGAAAACAAGTAATCTTTAAAAGTCTTTTGACTGAAAACTTGAAAAGTTAGATAACAAAGTGGCTGTATAGAGCTGTATAAAGGCTCCTACTTCTGTACAATTAAAATTAAATTTAGATACAGAAACGGTTTTAACATACAGCTAAAATACATCTTTGTATATATTGGCATGCAATCTTTATATGTAAATGGACATATTTGTATTTATTTGTTCAATATTTGTATTTATACATGAGAATTTCCTAGCCCAAAGAAAGTTGGCAAAGCGAGTATTCAGAGGTGATGTGGGTATGACAGGGTCTGAACTGGCAGCCAGTCACAGAGGGAAAGCCTGTTGGTACGATGTTACCAAACTTGACAGATTTTGTGAATTGTTTCTCTTAATGATTTTGCTGGACACCATGTCTGTTTCATGAGGCCCAGATAGAAATGCTGATCTTAAGAGTGTTTCTGTTTAAGAAAACTGGTTAGACTGCCTATCTTGTTGCTTTCCTGGGATGTTCTGTGGCCTGGCTATATGGGTAGTCCCACAAGTGGGTAAAGTGGGAATGCTTAGGTCATGGTAGAGCTTGAGTATTTTTGAGTCATTACGTTTACTGTGCTATAAGAAAAGCAAACAATGTTATATATTTATTGGATTTTTTTTCTTTTCTCCTATAGGTGGAAAAACAAATCAATTAATTCTTCAAAATACTGCAACCAAAGCAATTATTCAAGGTCTCATTCCAGATCAAAATTATGCCCTTCAGATCATTGCATTCAGTGAAGACAAGGAGAGTAAGCCAGCACAAGGCCAGTTCAGAAGTACGTGTCTCTTTATGGCTGACATACAGAATGTATCAGATATTTAATGTAACTTCTGAAATGGTAACAAGCCTTACACAAAGGGGAATGATGGGAAGACAGTTTTTTCTGAGGTGGAAGGAAAATCAGAGTAACGTATTTTAACTGGTGTAAGTATAGGTGCAGGCCTGAATTAATTGCATTGTATATTCTTGCACTGGGCTCTGTTTCTATTGGATTTGCATCCCTTTCTTCCTCATTTCATTAGGAAATTAGCTGGTATTTCATGGGAAAAAATCTTCAGTGAGTAGAAATAAAGTGCTATATTCTGATACTTTAAAAATTTCCTTTTTATCAAAACAGTGTTATAGCTGTGCCAACTGGAAACTAGATGCTAGTTTAATAGTACGAAAGGCTGATTTCTTAATGGTCTTCAGCAGTCAAATATGTTTACAAACTTAATTTTTATATGATCAAGACATGCTCTTAATGTCTATATCATAGTGGTATATACACTGATTTACCTGATTTATCTTGATCATTATGTTAAATATGCTAAATATGATTAGTGGAGATTTGGTTAATAATGTGGCAGTGTAGGAGTACAGTTGAAAACCTAATGAATTCTCTGATGCTAAATTTTCCTCACTGTCTTTGCTAAGCTACCTTTCTCTTAAAACCAGCACAAGATAAAATATGCTGAGTACTTGATGTGGTGTGTATCCAAGTCCTTTTAGCTTTTCACCACTACAACTGTGTATTTACTACCTTAAGTTCTGTCCTGGTTAGGAAACCCACAAAACCACAGATTACTTTAGCATTAAAAAGAAGCCCACAGAAGGCAACAGCAAATTCTCTAATATTAGGTGTAGCTGTTTTTGAAATGGTATTTAGGAAAAGTAGAGCAGGCAACTCGATTTAAGAATATGGTGATTCTATTCTCTTTAGTGTACTCTCTTTGCTGCACTTAAGGCTGGAGTTTCATTTAAAAGCATGATGCCTTTCATGAGTAGATAATGCAGATGCAGCATATATACAAATCCTTTTTTTGCTCTCCTGTATTATAGATTTTTTTCCCCTTTGACATGTGGCCACTAATTCTTGAGGTGAAAAAGGGTCAAATATATAAAGAGATTTGGGAATATCATCAAGTTTAGTGCATTGGAAGTATGGGTTTAATGCTCTGGAGTTGTAACTGATGTACTAAGAATTCTCAAGCTAACAATAAAATTTTATTGTCAAAAGAGTATTTCTCTTTTTATAGTGAGGTATACATTCTTATTCTAATACACAGTGTTTAATGAAGTAAGATCAATGGGGATTTTTTTTCCTTTGAAAATGTAGATGTAAAATCATGTGCTAGATAAAATCTTTGTCTATGTAAATATTGGAGTAAAACTGCTGTCTTGCCTCTTTTTTTGTGGTTAGAATTTTGACAGTTCCCAAATCCAGAAATCTGTCAGGATGTGACCGACCTGTTTCCTTTGAACATTTTCAGACTTTTGTAGCATTTTCTCTGGAGACTTGGCCCTCAATAACACTAGCATTAAAGGAGGCCAGCTAGTTGGCCTTGCTCTTGGGCTTTTTTCAAAGGAATGCTCCTAGAAGGATAAGCAGCAGCATCCTTTATGGCCAATATTATTCTGGCATTTCACCTCTAGTTTTAGTCAGAGTCTTGTTCAGTTAAGGATGAAACACAGACTTCTGACTAAGACCTGGTGTTGTTGTGGCATTCTGTAACCCAGCTAATAACCAAGATCTGCCTTGGTAAAAGCTGGCACCTCAGCAAGCTCGTGGACTTGAATTTGCTCCCAAACCAGTTACACAACTGTTTGCTGAAGGCAGAGGTGATACACAGTCACACGTGCTGTCTTAGTAAGGAGTCAGAATTTCAAGTTTTTTTGTTCTCACCTCTGTAGCTGGAGTGTGAGCATTGTAGGTTCTGGAAAGTGTTGTCATACTAAGACAATCACATTCAGATGTTTGTCAGCTCATTGTCTTCCTTAGAACTTGGTCTTGTGATTATATTTTGAATTGGAACTTGGAACACTCCTGGTTGATTCAGATACTCCACATACTATTGGGTAGATTAGTGAAGTCCATTTGACTTTGGTTCCACAAATGTACAAGAATATTTGCACTGTCTCTCTTACGTGGTCAAGAGACAGATAACCTCCTTTCATGCCCTCAGTGTTTTTTTGAATGATGTAGCACAGAGAGACTTTGATCCTGGCTGAGGAACAGTGCCTGCTTGAATGAATGTCAGTCATAATCCATTTTTGCATAAACTAAGTGTAATTGGAGTAGAATTTTATTTTTCTGTGGAAGATATTCTCAGCTTCGTTGTTTTAAGCTTTTCCTGGCTGTTGCAGACATCTGGAGTGTGGATACCAATGAGCATTCCAAGAAAATTCTGGAAGGAGTTTTTCTTCCCAATACGTGACTTTAGCTATGACTTTGTCAGAACCTTTCAGACTATTAGTAGAGCACTACTGGCTACAAATGTAATATTAGGAATTGCTAATCATATTGGGTTCTGCTTGGCTGTTGAGAGAGATTTGAGATATAGTAAGGGAGGAATCCCACCCACTTGTGGAATAGGAAACTGTCCAAGTCTTCTTGCACTCCTGGAAGTATTTGGTGCCCTGACTGCAGATTTGGGCATGGGATCTAAGCTGATTCTGTAAAGAGGACAGTGTAACAGCTGGCTTATGTATTTTTGTGTTGACTGACTTGGAGGGGAACTTTGCAATGCTGGACTTTCCCCAGCTAACTTTGCCAATTTTCTGGACTATCTTTCCAGTGTGGGATCTTGTCTGCATGGGCTTAGGTGCTGATGTCACTTTTTGGACTCTCCTGTGTGAAGAGAGTCAGTTTTGAGAGCTTTAATGATGATAGAATGGGGAAAGAGCCATAAGAATAATAAATGCAAAAGGAGGGAGGGAAAACACAGACGCAGTAACTCATTACCTAAACATATCTTCAGATGCTCTGTGGACCTACGTTACCGGGAAGAAGAAAATTACATGCTTTTAACTGCCTTGTTTCTAGATTAATTGATTTTCCCCCTTACTTTACAGTTAAAGACATAGAGAGAAGAAAAGACACAAGTAAATCCAAGGTGAAGGATCCAGAAAAAACAAATGCGAGTAAACCAGCTCCAGAAGGTCAGATCATAACACATGTGACTTATGTGATATTCTGAATATAATCAGCTTTTTTATTTAACTTGGCCACTGTAGAGATTTTCTGTAAGTCAGTTCATTAAATCTGATTCCCAGGCTTAAATTAAATAGAGGGGGAAAACCCCAGTATTTTCAGAAATATTGGAGAGTTGCTACAGAAGTATTGCTTTTATTTCTGTGTTTTGCTTTGCTTTTTTATAAAGTCCTAAATGCCATCATGAATAGATAAAAATTATTAAAAAATTATTTTAGATAATATTAAAATTATTAAAAGCTGCTTGTATTTCCCCACTGGGTGCATTTTGAGTAGTGGAAGAATCACGCAGGTGTGTGTGCATGTAATAACAACTTCTTGTCTTGGCTGTAAGACAGACTAGCAGTATTAATTCCCACCTAAACTCCAGTTAATACTATTGTGTAAATAGCCACATAATAACTTGATAAGTCTGTCCTAGTGTAGGTTGTATATATGAAAATATTTGAAACATGTTGAGGGAAGGGAAAAAAAAGGAGTTAATTTTGTCCTGTTGCAAGGAGCAATCTTCTGGTGAAATGTGATACTGCTTGCCATGAGAAGTTTGTCTAGTATGGATGAAAATTTATTTCAAGCTTAATATGCATCTCTATTTCCTGTTATTTTAAAATTCAAATAACATCTTCTTTATGGAGTAACCCCAACAGTAATTATTCCCTTCAGTGGTTATTTATGGTATACAGAACAAGAAGAGCTTGATATGACCTTAAATAGTCTCTCTGTGAATAAACTGGACAGTTTCAAGTATCCCATTTTCCCCTTCCATATAAATCTGTCTCCAGTAATGAAAGTGTCAAAGACCTCACCCAAAGCTCCTTGAAGCCCACGCAAATTTTTCTTTGGTGGGTTTTTATTCTTACCACACATTTTTATGTCATGTTTTATTTATTAACACTATGCAAGTTTTTTTCCATACAGCATTTCTCAAACCAAAGCACCCTTGAATTCCATTGGGTGCATTGCAAGAATTTTAGCTAGTGTTTGGAACACTGAAGACACAAGTTGTACCTGCTAGAGCATGACAGGGTAGTGGATAGGTGATCTTTCCTGTATCATGTCTACAGGAAGGCTGAGCTGGAAGAAATGACAGAACTGAGAAGGAAAATGTGATTTGCTTTCTTAATGAAGGACAATTGATAAAAGTTGAAGGAGGGAAAACTGGGCCTGTACTTGGAAAATGTTGATTAAATACAGACAGAGGAAAGTGTCTGCCAGACTGCAGGAGAGAATTTGTGCTTTTTTCATGGAGTAAGGGCAAAACTACAATTGGTGAGAGGAGCTTTGACCTGCAGTCTCTCCCTTTTTAGGATTCATGTTTACTTTTGAAGTCTTTAGTTTAGTCACCTTCCTCGTCCCTACACCACTTTTTACTCATCTGAATGTCTTCAGTTGTATCAGGGGAGTTTGTAACATGACAAAATACATCTCCATCCAGCACTTTTGGAAAGATATTGCCTTATACTTACTGTAGCAGGTTTTACTAGAAAATTGGGGTGTGCATTTAAAACTAAAGCACAACTTAGAAACTTCTCAATCAGCAAACCTGATCATAAAGAAAAAAATATGCTAATTTTTATGAATTCTTGAATTTGTTTAGCCATATGTCCAATTCAGCTATATATTATTGTAAAGTAACAGAACTTTTTCCTCTAGTCTAACTATTGCATATTTCTCTGCTTTGCACAGTATAATGATTATTCAAAATGATGAAGATTACAACTGAATTACTTCAGTGGGAGTAGGGTGAGATTCCAAGTGAAAACATTGGGCAAAAATAACAGCATCAGCAAAAAATGTGTAGCTGGGGTAGAAGTGAATTCAGAACGGAAACACAGAAAGTAATAGTATCAAAACTTTCCTAGTTTAATATATAAAGACTGTTCCACGTCAAATTGAAATAAAATCAAAGAAATAAGGAAAAGTCTGAAAGAAATGGATTAAAGAAATAAGTGCAAAATTTTACAGCAAACTCATGAAAAAACTTGATCCTCTGCAGATGTTTGACAGGAAATTATTTGAGTACAACCAAATGAATTCAAGCCAGAAGTTAATTGGTTTCATAACCATTTAGTGTGTGGCTAAATTTGATGGATTTAATATCAACCCTGATACATTCTCTGTGTGTGTTTGTATCTTTGGTCAAGTTGGCTAGACCTTGGGAGTTAACACTACAGAAGAAATTATTAAAATCATAATAAAACCATTAAGATTGGAAAAAATGTGCATCATCGACTTGACCTAATACCACCATGTCCACAAAAACATCTCATCAAGTGCCACATCCATTCAGTTGTTGAACGCTTCCATGGATGCTGATGGCACCAATTCCCTGGGCAGCTTGTTCCAATGTTTAACCTCTCTCACCGTGATGAAATTTTTTAATAATATCCAATCTGAATCTCCCCTGGTTCAACCTGAGGCTGTTTGCTCTTACCCTGTCATTGTTACCTGGCAGAAGAGACTGATCCCACCTGGCTGCAGCCTCCTCTCAGGGAGTTGTAGAGAGTGACAAGGTCTCCCCTGGGCCTCCTTTTCTCCAGGCTAAACACCCTCAGCTCCCTCAGCTGCTCCTCTCAGACTTGTGCTCCAGACCCTTCCCCAGCTCTGTTGCCCTTCCCTGGACACACTCCAGCCCCTCAATGTCCTTCTTGTAGTGAGGGGCCCAGAACTGGACACAGCTCTCGAGGTGTGGCCTCGCCAGTGCTGAGTACAGGGGACAATCCCTGTCCTGGTCCTGCTGGCCACACTGTATCTGATCCAGGCCAGGATGCCTTTGGCCTTCTTGGCCACCTGGGCACACACTGGCTCATGTTCAGTCCCTGTTATCAGCATCCCCAGGTTCTTTTCCTAGGGCAGCTTTCCAGCCACTGTTCCCCAGCCTGTAGGACTGCCTGGGGTTGTTGTGACCCAAGTGCAGGACCCAGCACTTGGCCTTGTTGAACCTCACACCACGGGTCTTGGGCCACTGACCCAGCCTGTCCAGATCTCTCTGCAGAATTCTCCTACCCTCCAGCAGGTCAACACTCATGCCCAGCTTGGTGTTGTCTGTGAACTTATTGAAGGTGTTATTAATCTGTTTATACAAACTTCTAAAAGTCTTTTATCATGACAGCTAGGTTGATTTAGGTAGAATAATATCTTGCCTGAGAACAAGAGCAATCTTTGCCCTTAACACAAATTGAAAACAACCATTGTCCAGGCTACTGTTGTTACTGGTTGTGGCTTCTGCTGTTCTCTTGAGTGAAGGAGAGCTATTCCCCAGTTATTAGCATCAAGTTTTGGTATAAAGATGTGCCTCCTGTGAACATCTGCGCTGCTTGTTACAGAAGGATGCTTACTGGCATTAGTAAACCAGAAAATCTAAAATTATTGTTTTGGGGCAAAACTAATAAAGCACATCAATGTACTTGTCAGTGAGTATGAAAAATGACTAAGAACTCTTTCAGTATTACAAGCTCCAGTTTGTGCATTATGATAAGTCATATATCCTGTAGAATTTTCTGAAAGGCACTACATAATCATATAAACTTATTTGTAAATACTTAGCTAACATACCTTCATCAGGGTCGCACAATGAACCCCAGAAATTTCTCTTTCCATTTCAATGGGTCAAAGATTTCACTATAACCCTTCTGCTCCTAGAAGCCAGCTCTTTGCTAAGAAATGCAACATGTAAATACCTGTACTCATGATTCTAGGTAGTTCCAGAGCATTTCACTCTTATTTTCATCTGTGGTTTGGAAAACTGTTTATGTAGTACTGTCCACTATTTAATTACCAACTGTCTAAGCGCTGAGCAGTTCTGAGCAGTGCTGGGAAGTCTAAATGCCTTTTCTGAACTCCCAAATCTGCTTTCTTCTTCTGTCCTTAAATTAAATTCTTGTGAGGGTTTTCCTCCGTCTTTATGGAAGTCTGTCAACAGTTTGTATGTCTTGCCAGTAAAGCAGCTTCAGCAACCTAGATTAAAATGTTCCATCTATTCTGTCCTGTTCATTCAAGTAGTTTAGAAAGATTACTCCTTTTCTGCTCTAAGTACTGTGCTCTTATCACAAGCAAACCTCCAGTGTATATCCAGTAATGTCATGTGCCAAATTAATTCAGGCTTAATGTCTAGCAGTCCTCCATCAAATGTTCATTTTATATTTGATTTCCAGAAACTTTCTGTAATTATTCTGCATGACCACTTTCAAGTTTTGAATCTCCTTTCTATATTTTTGAGAACCTGTCATTTTTCAGCTTAGCGATTTATCACTGCTGTGCACACTCATAATAATAATGTCAGAAGCCTTTTCTCTTTCTGTCTGTTGAGAAAAAGCTCACAGATGCAGCTTCTTTCAGCACGCACTGATATTTGAGTGCTTGTACCCTGGCTCCTCTCCAGCTCCCTCATGTACAAAGCTCTTTTCTGTGCAGTGACAGGGGTTAATACATTCTGTGCCTTCTCAGATGTTTTACAGTTTCTCAGAGAGCTTTTATGACTGATTCTCTAATCAAATCCCTTTGGGGAGGGGAGAATCAGTGCTTTGACTATATCCTCTGGCAAATATATGACTATATCTTTTTCTGCAGAATATTTCTCCTTGTATCTGAACTGGGTTTAACTACCCATTTCAATATAAACAACAAAACACTGAGGCCAGTTTTATCTGCATTCCTGTTGATTTGATTGGGGATTTTTAGTTGAGAGGTGTGGTGCCTCAATGTAGGCTTGCAGCCAAACTCCCACCTAGCTGGTTGCTCATTCCTCTCCCCCGCAGGATGGGAGAGAAAAAAGGAAGAACAGGAATGAAACAGTTCATAGGCTGAGATAAAGACAGGGAGACTGCTTACCAGTTACCATGGTAGGCAAACAGAGTCAAGTGGGGGACGATTTGCTTAATTTATTGCCAGTTTTAAAATTTGCTAATGTGGGTAGTGGGAAACAAAAGAGACAAACATTAAAACAACA